CCAAGTGGGTAGGTCGTYAGGAAGTGATTCTTTCACTATGTCTACTTCACAGCCTTGTCCAAAAAAGGGAAAGGCCTTAAAACCATTTGCCGCCTGTCAGCACTTCAATTCCAGTGTTTCTAGTCCTACCCCCGTCCTACYAGGTATGGGTGTCAATTCTTTTATAGGTACTGACTTGTTTGCTATGCTTGTAACAGATATCCCAGCTTCCCATCCAGGAGGTTCTGATGCAAGAGAGAGGGTGATAGTGGAAGGAGAGAGGGTGTTGGAAGGAAGTAGTAAGGGGGAGGCAGACAGAATTTGGGAGCTGATTTGTACAATGATGGAGGAAAAAAAAAAGGAAGGACTCTTAGAAAGATGTTGTAGCCAAAATAAGTGTGAGCAGGGTAAAATTCTTCCYCAGACATTGGCTGGAAAGGATGGAGAAAAGAAAAATGATGATTGTTATATTAGGAAGGGGGGGGAAAAAGAAACAAATAAGAAAAAAAGATCTGAAGTGGAAAGGCTAATTTCAGACATTGAGGGGGATTTAGAATTCAGTTGTAGAGGGGATAGGAGGAAGGGCCTAAAATGATGAGACTATGGCCTTTTCATGGGTTTTTTGCTATTTTGTCTCAATGAAAATTATTAGCTGGAATGTAAGAGGGTTAGGGAGTGCAAGAAAGAGAAGGGTGATCAAAGACCTACTCCGAAGGGAAAAACCCGATATTGTGTTGTTACAAGAATTCAAAATGATGGAATTATATGGGAGATGGGTGAGGAGTTTTTGGAGATCTAGAGGTTTAGGTTGGAGCTTATCTCCTTCTTGGGGAGCCTCGGGGGGGATCGTAACACTGTGGAGGGAGGATGTGGTGGAAGTAGTGGAAGAATGGATAGGCAGATTCTCAATTTCCATTAAGAGTAAGAATGTAGATAATGGGTGTGTATGGGTCTTAACCAATGTTTATGGCCCTAATTCCTATAGAGAGAGGAATGAGATGTGGGAGGAACTATATGCAATCAAGGGGCTATGGGATGGTCCTTGGTGCCTGGGCGGGGATTTTAATGTCATTAGATTCTATGATGAAACCAGTAATCCCCAACAGGTAAGTTCAACAAGCATGAGGAAATTTAATGGTTTTATTGAAGAATGTGAACTGAAGGAAATACCTCTGCTACAAGCCAGTTACACTTGGTCCAACCTTCAGGAAACCCCTTTGTGTTCGAAGCTGGACAGATTCTTATTTAACCTTGCCTGGGAGAATAGTTTGGAAAATTTGGTTGCTAGAGCGTTACCCAGGGTCACCTCCGATCACTGTCCTATGCAAATAGGTACTGAGTCATTTTCTATATGACCCAAACCTTTTAGATTCGAAAATATGTGGTTCACCCATCCAGATTTTGTGAAAAAAGTGAAGGAATGGTGGGGTGAGGAGGAGAGGGGGGTAAGATGGAAGGGGATCAAGTTCCACAAGAAATTAAAAAGGTCGAGAGCCAAAATAAAAGAGTGGAATAGAGATCAGTTTGGTAGAATTGAGGAGCAAAAA